CAGTTAAATGCTTAAAAATAAATAAAAACATAACTATTATATTTTAGCCTAGTTTTGCGATATTATTTCTCCAAGGGTTTTGGGATAAAATATATAAAAAAAAAAGAATTTTGGGAGACTAAATCCACAAAAGTATTGCTTTACTTTAAGTACATTTTCAGTATATTATTTATCATTCACAAGAAATATGCTTTTTTTATGGCTAGATTATGGTGATGAGTATCTCATCTACTACGCGTAAAATATTTTTTTGCTGTCATTATCGAAAAATCTCTTGACAAATTCTAATGATACAAATTCTACAAAATGATGATAATGATGATGAACCTCGTGGAGCCCTATCACCTAACTCATTGACAGAAATGCAAAACCACAAAGGGTAGATACTGTTAGTTCCCTGCAGTCTTCTACAATGTGGAGGTTACATCCTCATTCGAATGGACAATCAACTGAGGAGCTGGCGAACAAAACGGTATAATGACATAAAATTAAATTTTACAGGAGCTGTATAAAACTGAATGACATACCTCCAGTGAGCTTTTGGCAGGGTTTTTAATTTATAAATTTAGTAATTTTAACACTGTTTTAGTCGGTTTTCATTGAAAATTATTTGAGGCGCGAAACCTCCGGACTATGAAAAAAAAAGTAGTTTGACCAGATGCGTAATTATGCCATTTTGTTCGCCGCCTCCTCACTATGACCTGTTTCTCACAAAAAGAATACGGATAATACATAACCGCTTTTACTAAACAGAAAAGTAATTCATAAAATCCCACCCTAAGTTCTCTTCAATTATTTTCTATACTTATTACATTTTTCCTATTTGAATTCTGTTTAAATATTTTTTATATAAATATACGTTTCTAATCAGTCACATCAAATCGTAAATATTCATATTTTCAACATTTACTGCCTTATCAATAAACGAGGATTAAGCTTAGACTACTTACGCCGCGCCGTGTATCTATATATATAAAACTCAAAGGTGACTGACTGACTGACATAGTGATCTATCAACGCACAGCCCAAACCACTGGACGAATCGGGCTGAAATTTGGCATGCAAGTAGATGTTATTACGTAGGCATCCGCTAAGAAAGGATTCTGATCAATTCTACCCCCAAGGGGATAAAATAGGGAATGAAAGTTTGTATGAAACTTTGTCAATTTTAAACCGATCGGGCTGAGACTTTGCATGCAGGTATAACAAGAATCATAGATGAATGACATTGTGTATAATACAAGCCTGAGAACAAAAACTGTAGTCTACACTTCAGCTCTACACCGAAGCGAAGCGAGGGCGGGCCGCTAGTTGTGCATAACACTCAAAGGCCATTTGTCATTGAATGAACAGAGACAAAACATAGAGTAACTAATCCAAGCTTATTCTTCGTTTATTAATAAGGGGGTTAGGGAATGATGGCACAACGACAATACGTAAGAGTGTCTGCGTGTGTGTAATATATATGTTTGAATGTGTATCCAATACAGTTGAACGAAGGTTATCCATTTACTGACTCAATCCAAATGAACAACATCAAAGCCACTGAGCAGCGGCATTTACGAACAGGAAATATACAAATATTGGTTTTGGAATGCCATTGTGGCTTGATTAATGGCAATGAAAGTTATCAGGACAGCTCTTGAACTAGTTTGTCAAATTCAGCATTTACATGATACGTGCATGTTTCAGGAATTTGTGTTATTTACGGGTTTGTACCATGTACACTCTTGCAACTGGTCACGGATTAACATGGCCATAATCATGGCGCTTGCAACAGTGCCGAAGTATAGGAACCTTGCTAAAAACAAGCATTGGTATTCTGTAAAATGCAATTTCAATTATTTGGATTTCTGACAAATGTAAAATATCTAATACTGGCTACTTCTATGGACATAGCGATATTTTGCCGTGTAATGGCGTAATGCATATCAAACTAAAGTTTAAAATGGCAGCGGCCGAAACCGGAAGTGAGATTTTATTTTACAGAATCGCCCTAAATGTACATGGTATGATGCTAGGAATTTATTTATCTGTATGACCTTTAAAGTTTTACACAATAAGTATATCATGTTTTAGGAATCCGAAGTTTAAAAGGAAAAAATCGGAACCCTCATACTCAACCTAAACCTCAATACCTTCAACGTCTGTCTGTCTGTCACAGCCAACTTGCTCCAAAGCTATTACGAGCTATGCTCGACTGATTGAGTTAACAATAAAGAGTGTTGAAGTTATTAAAAATAATAAGAAAAATATTACCGAGCTTTTTATCAAAATACAAGACAAAAAAAAGTATATATTTCTTAAAGTTCTTTGCCTAAAGATTAAGAAAAAGCAGATAAGAAATCCATGATATTTAGAGTAACGTTCTAAGGCACTAAGGCTTATAAAATCCGGCACTTTTAGTTTCCACAAATGAATTTGAGTCAGATTAAACTTAACTCGCATATCGAATTGTTACTTGTCCAGTTTTTTCTTCATATTTGTATTATGCACAGGCTTCATATTGCAAATTTAATCAATTAAATATCTAATTTAAATAAATGTATATATGACAGTCTCGTATATCTTTTGAAGTTAAAGCACATCTCAACATATTTAAGTATTAACTTTGTCTACATACATGAATTACCTCGTGATCACCTAAATATTAAATTTGTTCTAGAAAGGTATACTTTCTTTGATTTAATGTTTTGCTGAGACGTATCTATCTAAGCTTTTGTAATTGAATTGCTTAAAAAAAATTTACAACTTTAAAAATATAAAGTAGGTAAATATTTATGTATGTTAAAAGGGTGCAAACAATGGTACCCATAATGAAATTACCCACCTGATGGTAAGCGTCCACCAAAGCCTGAGACGCTTGCTATACAAAAAATATCATTCGGACCATTGACTACACTAACGGAATTAAAATTTGAGCGGAAACTCCGCCATGTAATACATCTTTTTTATAGTATTTTTGCTTGTATCGTATTCGAATAATGTTTTTGTATCCTTTCAAAATCTTATATATAAAATTCTCGTGTCGCGGTGTTTGTGGTTAAACTCCTCCGAAACGGCTTTCCCGATTCTCATGAAATTTTGTTTGCATATTGGGTAGGTCTGAGAATAGGATAACATCTATTTTTCATCCCCCTAAATGTTAAGGGAAATCCACCCCTAAATTTTTTTTTTCAATTTTAGATAAAAAAAATATTTTTAATTTTTTTGTGATACATCATACACAAATACATACAACCACAAATTTTCACCCTTCTACCACCAACCCCTATTTTTATGGAGGTACGAAGTTCGCTGGGACAGCTAGTATATTATAAATGTAAAAGTTTGTGTGCTTGGACGTTCTTCATGTAACTAATCTCGCAAAAACTGTTGAAGAGATTTGAATTAAAGGACATTTTATATTTAGTCTATAGACTGCGCTATTGTAGTGAACAAAAAGGATATGAATATTGAAAATACGTCTTTTGCATCATTATATTATGACATTTTGAAAAGCACCCATTTATTTATTATATTTAATCTCCAGCCAAAACATAAAATTTTCTGTATTTGTAATTGTAATTTTATTTTTATTATTGCTACAAAATTTTTAAATTTTGATTAAATAAAAGGATTTTTCTCTAATCGTTTCGAAATTAAATCCCACTTATGTTATTTTTTTAAATGTGATACCAACCCATGACTTGCACTGTTATCTACCCAGACCGCATCCTTTACCCCTTGGAGTCAAACCTTTACTCATCGACGAGTAGTGACAGTATCACGAAAAGGTACTGTTATTTTTGACGACCTCCGTGGCCGAGTGGTTTATACGCCGGGTTTCATGGTGTCGCCGACTCGAGAGGTCCCGGGTTCGAATCCCGGTGGGGGCATATGTTTGTGTGATGAACACGAGCATTTGTACTCCAGTCATGGATGTTTAATATGTATTTCTATATAAATATACTTATATATGTACAGTATATGTATTCTATCCGTTACCCTAGCATCCCATAACACAAGCCTTACATTGCTTACTTTGGGGCTAGGCTAATTGGTGTGAGTGTTGGAAATATTTATTTATTATTTATTTTTTTAATTTTGCGGGCGAGTGCTAGGATTATTACCTGCCTAAATTTGGACTTAGGATACTGTTTATCCCAGAAATGTTGTAGATTCCTGTAGGATTCTTATAAAACTAACTATATCGCAGACGGAGTCTACTGATTCGATATGTCAAATTGTCAACCGCACTGCTGCTACTAAAAGACGGCGAGCTTTCGAAGTGAAACTTTTGTTCACCACAAATTTTCTTTCATGTCGTTTCATAACGTTTTCAATTGTTATGTGTGTTGAATTTAAGAAACAAGTATTGGTGGTAGAAATCTCGCCAGCTACGTTAGGTTCGATTCCCAGTCGTGAAAGAGCTTTTCTTTTTAATGATTTTAGAGGTTTCACTTACATCGCGGTTTCACAAAACCACACCAATGAAATTTTTAAGAGTCCTATTTTCACTTAGTGTTCTTTTCGATTGATCTCTGTATTTTAAAATCTTAAACATAAATATTCACTTATTATTATAATCCAATTAACCACATGTAAAAAAAACGTGATTCCCTAAGGTTTTTTTTTTATTTATGTAGAGTTTTCGATTATTTTTTTATAGATTTGAAATGTACTTTTATATATATATATATAGAGGTAGGCAAATGACTCTACCCCACCTGATGTTAAGTGGTCTGAAGTCCAAACGCGAAAATAGCGTGTACTTTTTTTTATTAAAAGCAAAGCGTAGGATTTGACACGTAAAATGAAATATAAAAATTAGAGTCGACGTAATTTTCTGTTAACACTGCCGTAATATTGAATAAAGTTTAAAACAATAGACACCCACGAAAACATTTATACCTACCTAACGTATCCACACAAACCTAATAACGGTCAAGCGCAGCGGTGCGAAACGAGCCGTCCCTACGCTATTCTACGCAATGTGACCCTTAAAACATTAAACTTACCGTCAAAACAGGTGACGAGCCACAATAGCGAGGCGCACAGATGCGTGAAAGACACACGCCTAGCTTCCCGCCGCCGCACCATTTCACCTCTACCATCGATACAACATCCCACTAAACCAATTTCATATAGCCTCAGAGGACACTTATTTATCCGCGATCAGAATTCCACCCTCCGGCGATTATCGAGTGACGTAACAGAAAGTTCAACTTGCAACTTGGCAGACGTCCGCCCGCGGTGACGGGTCCCGAATAACTGAACTAAATTGTACGAGTAAAGGCTTCGGGGTGCGGCAGCGGGGTAGCGAATGTTTTGTGTCCTCCACACAGCTATTTCCTTCCAGAATGGAGACCACGTGCCGTGTTTAGTCAATTTGCGTCTGAATGGCTCCTAAGGCTGTTTGGAGTTTATTGTTGCCGTTAAACGGTACATCATTATGGGTGATAGTGTACTCTGTCGAACGTTGATTGACTGCCACTGCAAATAAAAGTGTAATTAAAGATCCCCTTCATTTGGATTTCAATTCGACGATTTCACGGTTCGATGCTATTTCTCTTCTGGCACTCTTCAATTTTGTAGCTTCGCAATGTTATCTTTGGGAGAGATAAAATTCATAACGGACTTTTCAGACGTAGAGAGGAATGAAAGAAAAACATGGCGTCGATTTTACAACGATAACGTCTCCAAATACCGCGAAACTCGTATTAAAGTTGTCGGCAATGGGCAAAGTTTCCACGGTTTGATGCTAGGCCGTCTTGATACCGCCACTTTTGGGAAGCCGAGTGGTGAAAATCTTAAGAAGTTTGATGTTTACTTCGCGATTTGTGAACTTTCATGAACATCGCAAAAAGAGTGAGGATCTTTCTCAAACTACTTGTGGGAGTTGTTCCTTTATCCGTAATGATGAAGATAATACTGTGCGGATTTGGGAAAGCGGACAACTTAATTTGAATAATGGCCTGCGTAGACGAGGCACTTTAGTCCGTGGACTGTTTTGTTCGCCAAAAGAGATCGCTTGAAACTTCGTCAAGTAAAGCACACGACGGTTTATAAGTACCGCGTACAAAAAGTCCCCCGACTATGGTTACCATAGCTCAGGATTTCTGAGATTTCAGGATTTTTGTACTCTTCTCAGGATTGCGGCTGGATTTTGCAAATCTCGTGAAATCTCAGGATTTTTTGAATTTCCAATAAAATACAGCTTACGTTTTAAAGATCTTTTTTATAAAAAGTTAAACAAACTAAAAATAATCTTCTTTTGGTAATTAATATGATCCAAGTTATTCTTAACTTAATCAGTTTTATCATACTTAATATGTGAAGATACAATTTTAAATAAGATTTTTTTCTTTAATTATGGATTCATATAATGCCCCCCCCCACATGTTAAGCTCATCAAATTATATTGATTTAAAAGTATAAGCAGAGTATAAACGATAATATTACGACTTTTTTAAATTGCTAATTACGTTAGAGAGAAAATTCTCAAACTGTAAAAAATCTCAGGATTTTTCAATGGAAATCAAGCTTTTTCTCCGGACTTTTGATTTTATCATCTGGTAACCTTACCCCCGACCAATTGAGGACACTCTGATTCCGGACTGGACAAAAGTACACAGGTGTCCCCGTGAAACAAAAGCGGCCAAGTGCGAGTCGGACTCGCCTATGAAGGGTTCAAGTTACAGTAGTAAAAGTTCTTTTAGTTCGTTGTAACTTTGATCAATGTTTTAATAATAGGGTATTTTTTTTAAATAAGGTTATTTATAAGTAATGTTGACTTGATTGAATTAAAGGTGAATTACGGTTTACGATTTATAACATCCATTCATTCATTAATGTCTAATTTTAAAAGTAACAGGGCGGGGGACACACATTTTACCACTTTGGCAGTGTCTCTCACGCAAACTATTCAGTTTAGGAAAAAATGATATGAGAAATCTTAATATCATTTTTGAAGACCTATCTATAAATATCGCACGCGTTTGGGTTTGATGAAAAAAAATTAAGAGTTTCAGTTCTAAGTATGGGAAAGCCCCAAAAGGAGACTGCTCAGCTTCCGTACATGTTTGGCCTATAGACCAATAATCATGAAAAATTGTTTCCTAGATTCGAAATTATATATAAATTACTGTAGAAACGAATATTATTGACGGTCACCCCTGAGAACTTCTATAAACCATATACACTGAACATATTAAAATAATAAAAAACAAATAAGTTATATAGTAAACTAGGGAAATCAAGCCAAGTACCGAAATTATGGATTAGATTCAGGTATATAGAGCATGTAGATTAACAGATAGTTGCCTGTTTTTAAAGTTAATGCACCTTATAATTTTATTTATTTATTAATTTATAGTCTGGGAACGTAGGCCCCTAGATAGATACCTTAAAGTCTAACATATATACAGATTACAATGTGTTTATGGAGGTGTTTGGCGAAAAATGTATGGCAATAGACTTTATGATGTCGCCTACCATCTATAATAATTGTCTAAGCACATTTGCATCTAGTGAAATTGATAATAAAGTTGTGGATATTAATACCAGAGTGTAATAAAAAAAATATTTATTTTATCCATAGATTTGTTTTTATGTTATATAAACAACTTCGATCAGTCTTTGGCTGAATGTTACTACACCCATAGCCATTAAAAATGATTCGTATGTTTTCCAAACCGGTAAAATTAAAAGTCCTTTTTAAAGTAAATATATTATACAAAGGTGTCCGTTGACATCTAATGACTGTAAATTAAATTAGAAATTACGGCAAGTGTATGTCAATATTTTTTGTGCATTTTGGCCAATTTGAGCAATCTCTTTTATTGTATTTTTCAATTTTTATGTGAAAAATCTTAATTTGGTTCACAGAATTGGTAAATCTACTAACCAAGTTTCAACAGTATAGTTCTTACAGTTTCGGAAATAAGTGGCTGTGACATACGGACAGACAGACAAACAGACATGACGTATCCATAAGGGTTCCGTTTTTTGCCATTTGACTACGGAACCCTAAAAATGGAACTCATGTGACTAGTATATTATCTTTTAAAAAGTCTTATCACTTTCTTTAACATAATTTTAATTACAACCCATCGTAATCTCAGGACATTTTCTTCCAAAGCGCGCATTTCTTTAAATCTACGGGTAACAGATTTTGCGCACACTGTGTGCGTTGTGTCTGTGATAAGTCCTCGGTGTACTATTTTTCACGATTCAATGAAGTCTCTCGTCTACGCAGACCATAACTTTTAAGATATTCTTCAAATTAATCCCTCATACTATTTCAAACGCAAACAAATGTATCTAACAAGAGTATACAGATCTAAAGAAAAGTTTTACTAGAAAAAAAAATCCACGCGGACCAGGCAACGGACGGGATTCGAACCCGCACCCTTCGCAATCCGGGCGAATGCACTGACCAATTATGCTACCACGGCCCTGATGGCCGTGTCGAAATTTTCCTAGCCTTAAGCTGCAAAGCAGCGCCATCTCTACTTTAGATTTAAACATCTAGCAGTCAAATGCATAAAAATAAATAAAAACATAAGAGTAAACAGAAGTATTATTTGATATGCGTGGTGGCCAAGGCCTCTAAGCATAAGCCATAACAGAAAGTTACCCCGTTATGCCTATAGATTGCGGTTTTACTTTGAAATTATGGCACTACAACAAACAAAACAAGATCTGGATTAAAAATTACATCGTCTCTCCGCTATATATTTTTTTCGCATTTTTATGTATTGTGAAATTTACACGAAGAAAAGATTAATAATTTTTACTCTTAGTGTCGCCGCACACGAGCCACACGCCACAGCCACAAACACCGCCACGAGAAGCTAGAAGCGGCTACTAAAGTGGCAGAGGCGCGCGACACCCGCGACAGCGGCCGACTAGGGAGAGAGGGGTGGGGAATCGCGCGAGTGACGTGTGGCGGCGTTTTGTATCGGCGCATTAAGTGGCCGGTGCGGGCCACAAGAAGCGAGAAACGACGATTTGTAGCGTGTGGCGGCCATCGGCGTACCGTGTGTGACGAGTCCATATAAAATGTATGAAAACTATAAGAAATATGCCGGTGGCGGCGTTTTGTGGTGGTGGTCGGTGGCCCGTGTGCGGCGACACTTAACGTTGGATCAATTCTTCTGAATATTTTATTCAGGTATGTTATTAGAGTTGTAATCTTCAGGAGCGTAATGAATTGAAGCTCAATATTTCATCCCACGAGAATGGAGGAGCCTAATGTTAGTGTGTCTGGCTGATATTACTCTAAATTATTATAAACAGAACTTTACTAGTCTTCCTTAGGATCTCACTGAAAACATTTTAGTAAGTTTTATACGCTTTGTCATAATAGGCTTTTTGACAGTATTAAAAATAAAGTGCCAACTGTTAGCATCTGTATTTAGAATGAATATTGGCAGGAATTTTTACTATTTTTGCAGAAAAAATATTCATAATTTTACTAAAAACCCACGATGAAGACAACAGTTTTCTTGTCTATTGTCACGTGACCCAAAACGCTGGGGATTGGTGGAGCCTAAAATGACGTCACACGCAAGTAAACTTCCGGTTAAAGTGACATTTTTGATTGTATGGTTTGGCGTTTTAATGACAGTCGTGTGACGTCACACACCAGTGAGACGCCATATTGTCCAGAGATACGTTTTTCGCGGGAACTTGAAAATAGAGTTTTTGATTTGGTTTTTTTTACCGAAATACACAACATAATGATGAAATTTTATGGACTCTATAAAAATTTGTAACTGTACCCCGTCATCACCCCTATCATCCAAGTAACCAATAAACAAAAAATAATAATTTATGAAAGCGGTCTACAATTGACGAAGAAATCGGTGAACGAGCATATAAAAAACATTGTCCACGCCAGGGAGCCCTTTTTTTATAACGCAGGTAAAAAATCTTTTTACAGACGACGGTGCCTTTAAGAGGCACACCGCCGAACGGACCTCACACCTGGCTCCCGCAATTCTTACGGACCCCCCAGTGGCTGACCACCGAGGACCCCGCAACTCTTACGGGCGCTTTACAGCATAATGTCAAGCGAATACCTTCTACACTGCTTAATGCGAAGCCGCGGGGTCCCCGTTAGGGATTCTACCACGACTGCGCACCCAGCAGCTTCCCGGCCTCGCCGGGGCTCCACCGGCAGGGGTCTCCCGAGGTATTGCCGGGACCCCGCAGATGTGCGCGGGATGGCCCGCGCGTGGGGGCTGAGTACGCGGCATAG